CCCCTCCGAGCAACACAAAGACGTGCCCCCAGCCCCTCACACACACACACGTCATCCAAAGCACGGGAGACGCGCAGGCACCACCACCAGGATGGGGCCCAAGTGACTATTGCCCCGCGTCAAAACACACACAACGTCGGGACGGGCCTCTCCGTCGGCGTCCGCTCACAAAAACAAAACACGGCCACATGCCTTCAGCAGCAGCGCCTTCCTTTCAGACAAACCTTCAGACAAAAAAAAAAAGGAAGAAGCATATAATACAAAAATAGCACCAGCCCTCGACCAAACCCAACACATTCGCCATCACCCCCTCGCACCACAGCAGCCAAACAACGACCTGCCGAGTCCGTGCCCGCCCGCACAGCTCAAGAAACATCGCTGCTTGCCGTGACTCTCCCACACCACGGCGGCGCCTGCACACGATGAGAAAGGAGTGGGTGGGGAACTGACGTAAACCAAAGTTATATGGTGCTGCTTGACGTGTGCATTGCGGAGTTGCCCTGTCACCTGGCGCCTGATCTGCATGGCATACACTCCTGGATGATATCTTGTCGCGCATCCCCAAAATAAAATAATAATAATGCACCCAATAATGGGTTGACGCGAGTTTTGTTCAATGCATCCGACTCCTCCCCACTCACCAGGAAAAAATATCCCCACACGCAACAAAAAAAAATAGCCCAAACAAATAAACACGTGCATGAAGCACAAGCAATGGTAGCTGGGCTCTCGCTGTCAACTCAGCCAGTAGCAGTTTTTAAGGTTCCATGCAACGACCAGATACGTTCGCGTGGGAGACATCAGCAGTAGCAGTGGGGATGTCCGGTTTTGAAAATAAAAATAAATCAAAAATAAATAAACCATATATATATATATATATATAGCTAAATAAATAAATGCGAAATGTCGCCAACCCCCATGTACGAGCCATTTGGTGTCGAAGAAGGAAAAAAAGTAATCAAAAAAGCAAACAAACAGGGGTAGTTCAACAAGAGACGGCATTCCCTTTCTCAGCTTCCCACGGTTGCTTACTCCCTCAAGTTTCTGTGTCGTATTACAGCTATCACCTTAGAGTTAAGCCATTTATTTACAAACGGACCTTTTGGGTCAAAAAGCAGGGTCTTGACGCCTGTGATAAAAAACTTTCGGGAAACTTTTGGCATTGCAACGAGCTTGCCTTTCGGGGGATCCTCTGTGGCCGGCACCTTATCCCGGTATTTGTTCCTCCGCAAGCAGCCTGCCATTGAAGAGTGTGCCGAGGATGCTCTCGTTCACGAACAAAACAACTCCCCAATGCGTCGGTCGCCCTTGGAGTAAAACGTTGCCACCTTGTCGCAGGTGCGTGTTCCGCATGGCGAGAGATCAGCCTGTCGGTTGCCAACCACTACCACGTTCTTGTAGGTTGCCTCAGGGTTCGTGGGCGGGCCGTATATCTCAACAATATTCGCAGTGGCAATGTAAAGCAGGAGGGGATGCCGCGCCTTCATGGCGCGGTTGATTTCGTCTTGCAGAAGTTCTCCTGCCTCCTGCAGCTTGAGAAAATTTTCCAATGGGAGAACAACACCAAACTGATCTGCGTGCAAAACGACAGAAAAAAAAGCTGCCTTAACGCAATATCAAACCGTACCTCACCGCACAGCTCTGGCAGCTTTAGAGACGCATCCTGCCGGCACAAAAAAAAAAAGTAGGCACGTTGACAATACTCACATGCAGCACCTCGCTCTCATTGTCAGTCTCAAGATGCGCCGCTGTGCGTATCACGCCTACGGGTATCTCCAATATTACCGGAACGTGTGTTGACTTTGCTGGCACACTGACAGGCCCCTTTTCCACCGCCGTCGTGGTTGCCACAATGGAGTTGTGTCCACACATGTTCAAATAGCCGTCAGTGTCCATCAATACGAGACCCAAGTCGGTACCTTCGGCAACAGTGTCCAGCAGAAAGGCGCAGAACGCATCGTCATAACCACGCTCTTCCAGAATCACGCCGTGCCGGCGTGTTATCCATGTACCCCCTTAGTACTATTTCGTCTCCGCCATACTGGCATCCGGCACATGTAGCACACCACTCGTCACAATCCTGGCTGCCTCGCCGGCTGTGTGCATGTTGAAGCCTGTCACGGACTTCTTGAGACGCATGATTATATTTTGTTTATTAATTGTCATTATTATTATTTGTTCGTTAGTCAGTTTAGTGTCGCTCTTAATAGAGTACTACGGTGAAACAAAATCCCACGGAGAGGAGGATGAGGTGAAGAAGTAGGGGAATCTATATGCATGCAGCGCCGTAGAAAGAAAAACTTTTAAAAAGGAAAAAAGACAATCAGCTGCAACCGTGACAATGTTAAGAGATACAGCAAATAACAGGTGGGGGGAGGGGAGGGGCGGGTGGAGGCATGCATGGAAGAAGCAAAAAAAGTAAGAGCCGATGAGAAAAACGTGTGAGAGAGGCACTCGCGTGCAGGCACACACATACACCACGCACACATACGTACAGCTATAAATATTTTCATAACGCAAAAATGGAAGGGAGATGCACACATGTGCTCTATCGTTTACAACGTATGTAGCTGTATTTGTGGGCGTTGGTGTTGCCTGTCAACGGCGGGAAGGAAAGTGCGGTGGAGGGTGGAGTAACGGCGCAGGCACATATGTCTGCAGATATGTACGCATATATGTATATATATATATATCCCTCTCTCTATCTATCTCTTTCTCTCTCCCTGTGGATGTGTGTGCATTCGTGTGTGGGTAGGTGGGTGGGTGCTGTCCCTTCGGCAGGGCAGCCTTTAAGAGTTATTATTATTACCATAATATATATATATATATATATATATATTGAAAGAAAAATACTTGGCGCGGGGCATTTGTCATGCGCTTCGCCCACCGCTTCGCCTGCCGTCGCCTCCTGTAAAAGGTACACACACACACACAGGCAGATGACACTTGTCGCCTTCACAAGAAGTTATTCCTCTTCCTCTATCCACGCCTCCACGCACTCACCCCACATTGCATTCCCACGCCTCATGCTGTGTTGCTTGTTTTATTTTTAGGCATTCTCGCGTGTTACGGCGCGCAGCCCCCAGCCGCGCCCAGCGCGCGCAAGGGATGTCAGTCGAGCAGTTCAAAGTCGTCCTCGTCGAAGGGGTCTGACGCGGCCCGCGACTGGCGCCCGTTGGCGGAAGCTCCGGCTGGCATTTTAGAACTTCGCCCGGTGCACCGCCGCACCCGAACACACGTGCGCTTCCCCGCGTGCTTTCCCTGCGTCACCTCACGCATAATAAATGAGACGGTGTCGCCCTGTTTGACGCCGTCGCCCTCGGCGTTGCTCAGGTGAAAGAACACGGACTCTCCCGTGCCGTCGAGCAGAATAAACCCAAAGCGGCCCTCCACAATTTCCCTCACTGTGCCGTAGAAACGAGATTCAGGCGCACCAGCCGTGTCGCCCGTGGCAGCCTCTGACCGCACTGCGTGTTTCTTCTCCGCGCTGCGGTCCACGATGACACGCCGTGCGGCAGTACGGTCCCCAGCTTCGAGACAGAAGCGCACGTAACGGCCGCGTCGCAACTCCGATCCCGCTGCGAGGTCCAAGTCCTCGAGACTGACGGTGAAACGGGGGGCATCGTCGTGTAGGCTACCACAGAGGTCCAACTCTGCAATGACGCCTGTGCCGGCAAGCGGATCCCAGCTGTCGACGTAGCCAAAGAGCATGATGGGCGTCACAGACTTTTCTTTACCGTCAAGGGCGTCGTACAGACGAATGCGGTGGGCAACAGAAAGCTGCCTTGACCGCTCACCATTCACCGTCTCGTCAGAACTGTCTGCAGATGCAGACGCTAAGGCAGCGTCAGCGGAAAAAGCTGAGTTCGCCTCCGTTAGGCGCGTATTGAGTTTTTTGCTGGGCTGCGCCACCCGGACATCAAACGCCACGATCTGTCCTTCCGTCAGATAAAACCCGCCGTCCAGCGACGACCGCGGGAAGAAGAAAGTGGACGCCACATCACTCCCTGGGGAGTCGGTGTTCGCTGGTATGGCCGCGGCAGCCTTGCGGGGGTCTTTCTTCTTTGCAGCAGGCGGCTCCACCTCGCGGAGAAAGCCATAACCGCGGCGATGCATAAACGACGTGACTGTGCCGATGCGCCGCTTCGCAGGCTGGTCAGCAACGGGTCCCTGCGGCGTTTTGCCGGCAGTCATTGCCTTCTGCAGCAGCGGAGTAGAAGTCACAATGGCGGTAAGTCGCCATCCCACGAGACGGAACATGAGGTGAGGGCTACGAAGAATGGACTTGAAAAAGGCACGACCGCAGGGAAGGGATGACACGAGCAGAGTTCCTAACGGGACGCAAAGTGAGGGAAGCCGACACATGTCGATGGTGAGAGGCACCACCAACCTGCTGGGGCGAGTCCCGCAGAGAAATCAAAGAAACGCAGGCAAATACATAAAAAAAAAAACGAGTTCCGCGAGTTCACTCCATTCCCCCGAACGCATTTACGCCGCTCAGGCCCTTCGTCTCGTCTAAAAGACAAATCGTGCGTCAATCCAAGAAGAAGCGGCTGCTGCTGCGGTAGCGGCGTCATCGCCGTCACCCTTCGACGCCGCCGTTGCACTGCTCTCCAGCGCAAGGTCCGGGCGCAGGCGCAGCAGGTGGACCACACCGCTGGAAGTGCCGCACGACAGCCACGCGCCATCGTCGGAGAAGGCAAGAGTCGTGACGGCGGTGCTGCGAGACGCGAAGACGTGCGCCGCGCTTGCCGCAGGGGGCGTGCGTGCCCATCCGGCTGTGGGCGGGACGGATTGCAAGTACAGCGAGGCCACCGGCGAACACGAGCTCCGCGATAAATCCCACACAGCAACGCGGCCATTGCTTTCCCCGGCGACAAACACCGCGGGGTGAGTTGGGGACCATCGCAGGCAGTTCACCTGCGCGACGAATCCATCAATGGCGACGCGTCGCGCGCCCAACCAGAGGCTACACCTCCCGTCGGCAGCGGCGGTCAAAAGAGTGTCGCTTATGCGGGGGTCCGCATGCAGCGGGTGGGGTGCCACAACAACGACGGCGGCGCGATGCGCAGGGCCTTCGACGGATGTTCGTGATGTCGGTGAGCGACGCTGCAACACGTTGCCTGCAGCGGACGTGGCATTGATGGGCGACATCTCTACGACGCGCGAACTCTTCGTCCGCCCCTCCAGTACACGACCGTCAAGGCACCCAACAACGACTTTGCTCATGGCATCAGCGGCCTTGTCCACAAACGCTGCACACGACCCGATGCACCCCAGTGACTGTCCCGACACCACCCCGTCACGACTCGACGTCGGTAGCCGCAACTGGGGCGGAGCCCACATGCAAACACGTCCATCTTGACTGATCGTGTAGAGATGGTGGTAGTTGGCATCTCCGTGAACCGCCATGCCAAGCAGACGGAACTGGTGCGTGAGTGGCGACGGAAACGACTGCTCGCTCGGTGCCAGGGCAGCTGAGACGCTCACAGTAGGCAACCACCCTGATGAGGATGGGGGCATGGGCAAACGCTCTGACCCGGCAGTTAGCACGGCCCCAGACTGTCCCTGCAGCGCGTGGTCAATCCTCCACGCAACCACAGTGCCGTTGGAAGCGCCACCAAACAGCAAATGCGGCCGATGGCGCGTGTAGGTAAGAACGCGTATTTCGCTGTCATAGCACAAGGGCACTACACTGTAACTAGCATCACTATTCCTGCCCGGCAAAATACACCACAGAAGCACAAGACCACGCACTTCACCAACAGACTCCGCCGTTGCTCTCGCCGCTACTTCGCCTCCTCCTCCGTCTCCTGCCGTCATGGAAGTAAAAAACAGTGATGGTGACAGCAATGGTGCCTCACCTCCGCGACCTGAGAGAAACTGCGATGCACCTTTACTCGCTTCCTCCGCACGGTACGGCTCAGAAAGCGTGGCAGCAACTAGAAAACCGTTGCCGTCACCATCCCCACACGACCTCCCGCCAGAAAAGTTGGAGTCAAGCAGAGTCACATCCAACACGCAGCGGTCCGTGCAGTTTACGCAAGACTCCGCAAGTAGCGAATGTACCAGCATCATTGCAGCGTCGGGCGTTGGCATAACGCGCCGCTTCCCACGCCCTTCACCTTCCTGCAGTCGCTCCGTGGCACAAGCGCCCGCGACGCCCAACTTGACAGCCAGGGAGGTATCGACACCAGCGAGAGGAATCGTGTCAGCCTGACTGCAGTTACCTGTTTTGCTTTCCGCCACGGTCGGCCGCGGCGCAAAGGCCTCAATGTCCATCTTCACCTTCCATGTGTCCCCTTCACTCCCCGACACCGCCGCATTACCGCCACTACCATAGCAACTGCCTTTGGAAGGCGGCTCGCTAAACGAGAGCCGTGCGGCCGGTAAAACACGCGGCCTTCCCGTCCCTGCTGTGGGCGCCGTCTTCAACTCCCTCGCATGCTGCTCGTCCTGCATATGTGCCACCAAAGACACAGCCCGCTGCAAGGGCTCACCGCTCACGGAGATCATTGGCGAGTTGGAGGTGCTGCTGCGCCCAAAGGCGGTAGAAGACGTTTTCTGCTGACTGCTCTCCGTCTTCCGCTGCTGGAGCTGCTGCTGCACAGAGCGCTGCTTCGCCTCACGCGCAGCGCGAATCTCTTCAAGCTGCCGACGCTTTGCAGCCAAATCCATTTTTCTTCACTCTCTGTTTTTCCCCCTCCGTCCCAGACTTGTGTGCCAGTCAGCCTCGCCTCCGCAGCACTTGAGCCGTCGTAGCGCCGCCACACGCCCACGTTCCGACCTATATATACAACCCAGCTCGCCGTGTCGGCTTGTGCCTAGCCTCACACTAACTACGGCCTCCACCCACCACGCCGCACAAGCAAAAATACAAGTCCATACAAAAAGAGAAGAAAAAAAAAGAACAAAAAAAAAGCATCACCCACATCGCACTGGCAGACGCAGACCAACCCAACCAACCAACACGCACACATGCCAACGCGTAACAACACAGCCGCCACAACGTGCTAAAAACAAACAGTCGAATCCTCCTGCAAGATCTACGTACAAAAAAAGTACTTTTATTTCTCTTTTTTTTTTTTGGTGGGGGAGGGATGTTTGTGTGAAAATAATCAACAAATATACTCCAGCAGCCGCTACCAACAAATACAACAACAAAAAAAAAAAAAATCTAAAACGCATACAAACATGAGCATCTAAAGCAAAAAAACAAGAAAAAACTCAAAGTATAAATCCAAACACACAGACAGACACAACAAACAAAATAAATAATAATAATAATAATAAATCACTTGCCACGATTCTCCTTCCCATGCCTGTCACGAGAAGCCAATAACCTCTTCGTAACAGAAAAACGCTTCTCATCCGCCACACCAACTCCAGAAGAAAAAGAAAGACGATCATGTAACGCACGCAGACGAACCTCATTTTCAGAAGACTTCCGCAAAAGATCCCCATAACGCTCCTTCAACCTCAAATGACGTTTACATACGCCTTCCTTGGCGTCCTCGGTGCTCTGCAGCTTCTCCGTCAGATCGTCACGCTCAGCCGTCATCGCCTCGAGGTTCCTCTCCACCTCTTCCTTGGCGTCCTCGGTGCTCTGCAGCTTCTCCGTCAGCTCGTCACGCTCAGCCGTCATCGCCTCGAGGTTCCTCTCCACCTCTTCCTTGGCGTCCTCGGTGCTCTGCAGCTTTCTCCGTCAGATCGTCACGCTCAGCCGTCATCGCCTCGAGGTTCCTCTCCACCTCTTCCTTGGCGTCCTCGGTGCTCTGCAGCTTCTCCGTCAGCTCGTCACGCTCAGCCGTCA